GTGCTAGTGTCTCTAGATGAGAAGGAAGCAATGAACACTTTGGGAGGCCGAGGTGGGTGGACCACCTGAGGTCAGGAGTTCAAGACCAGCCTGGCCATCATGGTGAAACTCCATCTTAAAAAAAAAAAAGCAAACAGTAAAATACAGCAATTACTACAATAAAATAACTGTGTAATGTTAACAGGAACAGAGGTAACAGAATATAATGAAGGATAGATGGAAGAGGCATAATGAACATCACCAAAGCATATACTCACCAGATTCTGTAAAGTCAACACTTTAGAAAAAAAATCTTAAATGTGCTAAAGGGCAGATCACACACAAACCCTACCAGGCTAGCAGAAAACTTCTTATCAGAAATCTTCAAGCTAGGAAAGATTGGGAACCTATTTTCAGCATTCCTAAAGTAAAACAATTCTAACCAAGAATTTCATATCCTTCCAAACTAACCTTCATAAGTAAAGGAGAAATAAAAACTTTTCCAGACAAGAAAGCACTAAAGCAATTTGTCACCACTAAACCAGACTTTTAGGATGTACTTAAGGGAGTTCTGACCATGCAAACAAAAGAATAATACCTGCTACCACAAAACACACTTAAGTACATAGCCTGAGACAAAGCAAAAACACAATAGGAACTACAAAGTAACCAGCAGACAGCTTTATGACAGAATCAAAACCTCAAATATTAATATTAACCTTGAACGTAAATGGTCTAAATAACTCACTTAAAAGGCACAGAGTGGCAAGTTGGATACAAAAACAAGATCCATTCATCTGCAGTCTTCAAGAAATCCATTTCACACATAAAGATACATGCAGGCTCAAAATAAAGAGTTAGAGAAAGATCTACCACAAAAACAGAAAACAAAAAACAGTCAGAATTGCTATTCTTAGACAAAACAGACTTTAAAGCAACAACAGTAAACAAAGAACATAAGATAATGATAAAAAGTACAATTCAACAAGAAGACTTAACTATCCTAAATGAATAGGCACCCACCATTGTAGCACTCAGATTCATAAAACAAGTACTTCTAGACTTATAAAAAGACTTAGAAAGCCACACAATAGTAGTAGGAGACTTCAACACCCCACTGACAGCATTAGACAAATATCAAGGCAGAAAATAACAAAACGTCTCTGGGCTTAACCTCAGCACTTGACCAACACAGGGCATAATAGATATCTGCAGAATACTCCATTGAGCAACCATCGGATATACATTCTTCTTATCTGCACACAGAACATACTCCAAGATTGACCATATGTCCAGCAATAAAGCAAGTCTCAATAAATACAAAAAAGTCAAAATATCAACCATACTCTCAGACCACAGTGGAATAAAAATAAAAGTCAATACCAAAGAGAGCTCTAAAAACAATACAATCACATATAAATTAAACAACTTGCTCTTCTGAGTGACTTTTGGGTAAACAACACAATCAAGGCAGAAACCAAGAAATTATTTGAAATAAACGAGAACAGAGACAAGATACAACATACTAAAAAATCTCTGGAATGGAGTAAAAGCAGAAGCAGTGTTCAGAAGAAAGTTTACAGCACTAAATGCCTACCTCAAAAAGTTAGAAAGATCTTAAATTAATCATCTAATATTATGCCTACAGGAACTAGAAAAACAATAACAACCTAACCATAAAGCTAGCAGAAGAAAATAAATAATCAGAGTGGAACTGAATGAAACTGAGATCCAAAACTCCATACAAAGAATAAACAAAACTAAAAGTTCTTTGAAAGGATAAACAAGCTCAATCAACACCTAGATTAACAAGGGAAAAAATAGAGAAGACTCAAATAAACACAATTAGAAACAACAAAGATGACATTACAACTGACTCAAAGAAAAAAGATCCTCACAGACTATTAGGAACTCCTCTATGTACACAAACTAGAAAATCTATAGGTAATGAATATATTCCTGGAAATCTGTAGGTAATGAATATATTCCTGGAAACACACAATCTCCCAAGATGGAAACAGGAAGAAGTTGAAACACTGGGCAGACCATACACATTCTGAAATTAAATCAGCAATAAAACCCCTACCAATAATAAAAAAAGTCAAAAACAACAGTTGTTGGTGAGGCCGCAGAGAAAAGGACTGTTTACACACTCTTCGTGGGAATATTAATTAGTTCAGCCACTATGGAAAGCAGTTTGGAGATTTCTCAAAGAATTTAAAACTACCATTTGACCCAGAGATCCCATTTCTGGGTATACATCCCAAAGAAAACAAATCATCCTACCAAAAAGACGCATGCACTCGCATGTTCATCACAGCCCTCTTCACAATAGCAAGTCACAGAATTAGCCTAAATGCCCATCAATGGTAGACTGCATGAAGAAAATGTGGTATACATATACCATGGAATACTACACAGCCATAAAAAAATTAAAAATCGTGTCTTTTGCAGCAACCTGGATGGAGCTGGAGGCCCTTATCCTAAGGCAATTAAAGCAGGAAGAGAAAACCAAATACTTCATGTTCTCACTTTTAAGTGGGAGCTAAACATTGGGTACTTGTGGACATAAAGATGGCAACAATTAACACTCCAGACTGCTAGAGGGAACATGGAGGAAAGGGAGAAAGGGTTGAAAAACTTTTGGATACCATTCTTAGTACCTGCATGATTATATCATTCATACCCCAAACCTCAGCATCACACAATATACCCACGTAACAAACTTATACATGTATCCCCTGAATCTAAACTAAAAGTTGGAAAATTAAAGGTAAAAATAGAATAGAAAAGATATTCTTTTCTGTTCCAAAAAAAATGAAAAATAAATTACTGGCACATGGAAGAGCATTAACAGATCTTAGAAATATGTTGAGAAAACAAAATAAGCCAGAGAAGAAAGAAACGCATGCTGTAGTCCATTGAAGAGCAAGCAAAATTAATTTTTGATGATACAAATAAAAAGAATTGTTTTCTTCCGGTGTGCACTATTGATTGGGTAGGGGCAGAAGGAAATTTACAGTGAAATGGGAATGTTTTATAGTTTGAGTAGTAGTTACGTGGTTGTTTACATAAATAAAAAATTATCAACCTGTACAATTAAGATTTGCGTATTTTACAGTATGTAAATTATACCTCCATAAAGAAAATACCACATTAAAACAAATAAAAAAATGAAAATAAGAGAAAAAGGCAATGACAACTTAATTGCAAAAAAGTATTTCTGTTGCTTAATGCTCTCTTTCTCAACATATGTAATTAAGTATTTTACAAATTGTATAACCCTGGGACAGTCATGCCAAATCTACCTCTGAAGACTTTCACGGAGGACCATGTTGACTATTGAGAATAGTAAATATGGCAGTATGTTACCATATGCAGTGAAATGGTAATTACAGTATATTTCTGCTAAAATTTCCCATTTTAGACAGTGAATAATTAAATATCACCCTGAGAATCTGTTGCAATTTTAGTTCCTGTTTCCTTTTTTCACACGCCACTGATGACAGGTGATTTGTCCTTCTAGACCTTGTGTGACTTCATTGGTGATAGCAAGTAATCCTGTGCTACCAGAGGGATTTAAACATATTTTCATTTATGACTGCAGTGATGCTCACCTACTCAGAAAGATGAGGAGCAACTGGTTGGCAGGAAAGTAGCTAACAGGATCTATAAGCAAGTAAATTTGGTCTTTGTGGTCTCCTTTTCCTGAGTCTGTTTTGGGATGGATGCATGTCCAACCAAATTTGATGTTCATCATAACAGACTGTGTCATCATGTTCCATAGAATGAATAAGACTATGTTCAAGAATTCTAAATAGTTACACCAGCAAATTCTAATGCATATTTGGGGCATTTTAATTATCTTAATGTCTGAGATTTATCAGCCAGATTGCCATAGGGGAAAACTATGGCTCTTACTCCTCCAGGGTTTGGAAATTTCTGTCTTCATTGAAAATAACTGGCCTTAACAATTTCCTATTGATTTGACATAAGTCATCCATTATTGGCTTTTTATAGGTCTAGCTTTTTCCCTTTTTCTTTCCATTAGCCTACGAGAAAGGTCTTGGTTCGTTGGAAGAAAAGAGAAACATATAATCACAGTAATTATATTTCCTGTGAGCTGCTTCTTGGTGAGTACTTGACCATGGGGATGAGATGATTTGCAATCTAATGGGTTAAATATTTAAACCAGAGGCTGGTCTAAGAGGGAAGTTGAAGCAGTGGGTCTGGCCAAATCAAACAAGTCAATCAAATACAATTTGATTATGGTATCTTATTCACTAGAGCACTAATTTCCAGCATATGACCAGACTCTTTCCCAAAGATTGTATATCAGTTCATCTGGTTGCTAGCTAGGTTTTGGCTTTTTAAAACAATTAATGGTCATTTAGTGATTGCAGCGGGCATCCAGGCACAATTCTAATTCCACCGCAATCTTCCAAGGTAATAATAATATGCCCAAAATAAGGAGTATTGAAGAGTAATTTATGACTAACGGCAGAAGAAAACACTTCCATTCTGTTAGGTTGGTAGAATGAGAGGAATACCTATTTACCTATCCACTGAGTCTGAACAACAAGGTTATATAACCATTTTTCCTCATCTTTAGACATGGTTTTTGTTAAATTCATGGACTGGGTAGTTATGAGATGCTATGATAGTGAGCTTTAAGACTCACTCTAGGGTCTTGAGTAAAGACAGCTTCCCCAGTTGTCTTTCTGTGGACCCCATGAAGCTCATTTCAAGCTAAATGAACTTCAGGAAAATAATTGGGTTGGAGCATGGTAATAGGAACGCAGCTTTTTCATGTTTCCTATTTTCAGAGGGCTAAAGTCAATGCATAGGAGGGCTTTATGGAACACATGTCATATCTGAAGTGTCGAAATTAAAACTGTGACCCCATGAAAGAATGTTATCTGGGGGGCGACAGCCTTCATTGTTATCCGTCTGAGAAAAGTAATGATTTTTATTTTGCATTGTTCACCTTATGGAGTATTATTCAAAAACGTGATTGTCAGATGCCCGATTCCGCGCCCGCCATGGCCGACAAAATGGACGTGTCACTGGACGACATCATTAAACTGAACCGGAGCCAGGGAGGAGGCCGCGGCGGGGTCTGCTCCCAGGGCGGCCGCGGCGGAGGGGCGCAGGCCGCCGCGCGAGTGAATCGAGGCGACGGGCCCATCCGGAACGGCCGGCCATCGCCCGCCGCGCGGCCGGCGGAGGCGGCAGGAACCGACCCGCGCCCTGCAGCTGGCCAAAACAGCTTCCCGACAAGTGGGAGCACGATCTTTTCGACGGTGGCTTTGCGGGTGGTGGTCGCGTGGAGTCGGGTGGGAAACTGCTGGTGTCCAATCTGGATTTTGGAGTGTCAGACACCGATATTCAGGAACGCTTGGCTGACTTTGGAACACTGAAGAAGGCAGCTGTGCACTACGACCGCCCTGGCCGCAGCTTAGGACCAGCAGATGTACACTTTGAGCGGAAGGCAGTCGCCCTGAGAGCCATGAAGCAGTATAACGGTGTCCCTCTGGATGGCCGCCCCATGAACAGTCAGCTTGTCACATCGCAGATCAGTACACAGCGGAGACCTGCACAGAGCGTAAACAGAGGCGGCATGACTAGAAACCGTGGCGCTGGAGGCTTTGGTGGTGGCGGAGGCACCCGGAGAGGCACCCGTGGAGGCGCCCGGGGAAGAGGCAGAGGCGCCGGCAGGAATTCAAAGCAGCAGCTTTCGGCAGAGGAGCTGGACGCCCAGCTGGACGCCTATAATGCGAGAATGGACACCAGTTAAACAGACCGGCAAATCCGTGTGGACAGGACCCAAGCGTCTCCTCTTGCTCCCTGGTTGGGGAGCGGTGGCTGGGGCTGTGCGGCCAATAATGGATTTGTTTCTCTTATGTTTTAAAATAGGGTTTAAAAACTCCTGTAAAGGCTTTTTTCTTTCTTTCTTTTTTTTTTTTTTAAAACAGGTCTGAAACAGACCTGTTATTTTTGGGATAAATTTTACTGGTTGCTGTTGTGGAGAAGGCAACATTTCCACCTTTTCCATAATAAAATAGAAATGTGTGTAGAAACAAACAAACAAACAAACAAAGTTATTGCCTAGAAAACTTAAATTGCACATAAAAATTTTTCTCCAAAACAAACCAAAAAATAAACCTTAAGTGTTTATAATTTAATAATGCAAAATGTTCACAATAATTTAAAATAAAATAGTAAATGATTTCTCATTCAGAATAGCAACTGTAAACAGTGCTTGAAAAAACAAATGGCCAATTAAATTATTTGGTCTTCAGTGATATTTTTTACCTAGAAGATAAAAAAGGGTTGATGACAGATACAGACATGGAGATAAAGATGGAGATGAGAGCTGGGACAGCAGTCCAGGAATTTATCCTGGAGGGGTTTCCTGCCATCCAGGTCCTGGGGTGTGTCCTCTTCCGGTGCACCTGCTGGCATTCCTTGCCTCCATCATGGGAAACACATTCATAATCACCATCACTTGGCTGATCATCACCTCCAGACACCTATGTATATTTTACTCAGCAGTTTATCCTTCTGTGAATGCTGTTTTATGACTGCAATTATTCCTCAGCTGCTGGTCATCTTTCTTTTAGGCAGGCAAACTGTTTCCTTTGCTGCCTGTTTCCTACAAGCCTTTACCATTGTGTTTCTGGAAGCCGCAGCCTTCCTCCTCATAGCTGTGATGTCCTGGCTATTTGCAAGCCCCCGCATGACCCCGCCATCATGAGGCTGAGGACTTGCTTCCTCCTGGTCACTGCCTGCTCTGCCGTGGGCTTCACTCTCCTCACTGGTCTGGTGGTGAAGGTTTCCCAGTTGTCTTTCTGTGGACCCCATATCATCCCTCACTTCTTCTGTGACCTCAGCCCTTAGAAAGAATTCTAGACTTTCAAAGAGTATTGAATGATTTAGATTGTTATATCTGAGAAGGCTTGACTATAAACTACCCTAGAGGTTATGACATACATAAGTATGTCTGTGTCTCTCATGTTTCCAAAAAAGAAGTTAGATAATTTTAAAACCTCCTAAAGACAGGGAATTCCTGAGAGTGCTGACAATGGGAGCCTTCATCTCTGGATGTCAGAACTCTGAGCCATATGCTAGGTAAACCCACAATCCAGCTGGAAGAAGTGACCATAAGAACCCATAAGGGAAGAAGACTCAGCTGTTCTAGCAAGATGGAATTCTGAGCCTAAGCCATAGCCAGTAACCCAGTGAGCAAAGTGTGGCTCCCAGAGAGTGGGCTTCCTTAATTTGTACTGAAAACAAGAAGAGAAATTCTTAAAAAAAAAAACCCAACTGTTTATTTTGGGATAATTGTAGATTCACATGCAGTTTTAAGAAATAATAGAGAGAAATCCATGTCCCATTTACCCAGTTTCCCACAGTGGTAACATCTTGTAAAATATAATATAATATTATAGCCAGGATGTTGACATCGAGAAGATCATGATACAAAACATTCCTGTCACCACAAAGTTCCCTATTGTTGGTCTTTTATATCCACATCCAGTTCCCTTTTGCTGCAACTGCTAATCTGTTCTCCATTTCTAGAATTTTCCATTTTAAGAAATATATGAATATGTGTGGGGATGTGTGAAAGGGAATATATATATAAAAATATAGATAAATATATAATATGTAACCATTCAGGTTGGCTTTTTTTCAGATAACATAATTCTTTTTTTTCCTTTAAATAACAGGGTTTATTTATATCATTGGTATTTATTTCCATTGACATCATTTTCAAGAAAGCACTATGAAATTCTTCAAGCCCATGTACTTTTCAGATATCTCTTTCTCTCTTTCTCTTTATCCCTCCTTCTCTCTCCCTCCCTGTATTTTTGTAAAAGCTTTTCTAAAATTTCTTTAATTAAGAAACTGGTACCCAATTCAGAATAATGGATCTGTTTTTGTTTCTTCTTTAACTTTGTTACTTTATGTCATGTAATTTTTGAATACTGAATATCTTTTCTATATGTAATCATGCTTTACATTCTCTTTAACCACTATAAAACAATTAGAGAATCTAAAATTATGTTTCTATCCCCTAAACTTTCAAAGTTCACAGCATATGTAATTTTCTGAATGCCATCTGTTGGTGTTTATTAAGCAAGTTGTTAATGTTATGTAGCAAACATGTAGCAGAAATGTCACTAACATTTTAAATTGTGCTCTAAAACATGTGTAGATATTATAAACTAGTGATGACTTCTCTCTCATTACTGTCCTCACTTATTTGTGATACTACAGAGTCTTAATGTGCCTCTTCTGCTGTCAGTTCCTGCCAGAAATAAATTTTCTGGTATGATCATCTTGATTGACAATTATTAGTATGATTGGGTCATTATCGTTACCTGTTACTAGCACAGTTCCAGGAATGTACTATTCACTTTTAAAATGTTAATTTCTTTCTTTTGTCATTTTATAAAAATATATCTATAGTATATTTACATATATATTCAAATGCTTATACATAAATATGTATTCAAAAGGCTCGGCTGGGCACAGTGGCTTACACCTGTAATCCCAGCACTTTAGGAGGCCAAAGCGGGTGGAACACCTGTGGTCAGGAGTTCAAGACCAGCCTGGCCAGCACAGTGAAACCCCATCTCTACTAAAAGTACAAAAATTAGCTGGGCATGGTGGCATGTGCCTGTGGTCCCAGCTACTTGGGAGGCTGAGGCAGGAGAATCGCTTGAACCCAGATGCAGAGGTTTCAGTGAGCCAAAATCGCACCACAGCACTCCAGCCTGGGAGACAGAGGGAGACTCCATCAGGACAGCAGAACCGCATTGCAGTGGGCATGCTCCACTGGACATACAGAAATTGTTGAATTTTTGTTGCAGCTTGGAGTGCCAGCGATTGATAAAGACGATGCAGATTGGTTTCCTCTTCATATTGCGGCTTCTGCTGGCCGAGATGAGATTGTAAAAGCCCTTCTGGAAAAAGGTGCTCAAGTGAAATGTTGTCAATCAAAATGTCTGTGCTCCGACCTGGCGCGGTGGCTCCCGCCTGTAATCCCAGCACCTTGGGAGGCCGAGGCGGGCGGATCACAGGGTCAGAAGGAGACCAGCCTGCCCAACATGGTGAAACCCTGTCTCTACGAAAAATACAAAAATTAGCGGGGCGTGGTGGTGGGCGCCTGTAATCCTAGCCACTTGGGAGGCTGGGGCAGGAGAATCACTTGAAAACGGAAGGCGGAGATTGCAGTGAGCCGAGTTCGCGCCACTGCATTCCAGCCTGGTGACAGAGCAAGACTGCATCTCCGAAACAAAACAAAATGGCTGTTCTCCCTGACATTATGCAGCTTCCAAAAACATGCGTGACATTGCTGTCATGTTACTAGAAGGCAGGGCCAAGCACCATTATGAGGCTACAGCAGTGCACCGAGCAGTAGCCAAGGGGTTTGAGGAGTATCGAGGTTGGTGACACCTCTACATGCCAGAAGAATGGTGCACCCAACTCCATGGGAACAGAAGCTCCTATCCAGATAACATAATTCTTTAGCGATTCTTCCAAGTCGTTGTGAAACTACCTTTGCAAACATAACCGTGAAAAAAATTATAACAGTGAGCAAGCTAATCCACCTTTCATCCTGCCTTTCCCTTAATTATTCCTGGGCTTTGGGGCCAAGCTAACTTTGGAAGACATTTATAGTTTAAGTAATAATAACCCTTCCCCCAAACTCAACCATCTCTGTAAAGGTAATGAAAAGTCATCAGGCGACGGGGTGGAGAGGGGCCTGATTTTGCTAAGGTACAGACGTAAATTGCCAGCCATTCCTTCAGATTACACCATTGTTGTAGATTGGCCTTTCAAGATATCGGTTCAGGTTTTTTTTTTTTTTTTTTACATGTCTGAAACTCATAGTTTCACCTGGGCCCCATTACTCCATCTGGACCCACCAAGCTTGCACCTGTGGCCCCACCTAGAAGGGATTTAGCATGCAGGAGAACAGCTTTGATCCCCTATGATTTCATCTCTGCCGCAACCAATCAGCAGCAAGTTTAGCCACTGCCAACTCTTCCCCCAAAATGCTTTTGCAAACCCCTAACCTAGGAGTTTTGGATGAGACTGATTTGCATACTAACTCCAACTTCCACATTGCGTGGATTGCCTCATGTTTATTAAACTATCTCTTTACTACAGTGCTGTGTTTTTTTTTGCGCTACAAGCAAATAACAAAATAAAAAAAAAAACAAAAAAAAAAACCAACACTCTTTGGCTGTTACAGCTGCATGTGTCAATAGTTCATTCCTTTTTAATAGCTGAATATTATTCCATTGTATGTATGGACCATATTTTGTTTAATAATTTACCTGTTGAAGACATATGGGCTATTTCCTGTAGTTATTTATTACAAATAAATCTCTGAGCATTTACATACGGGTCTTTGTATGAACATAAGATTTTGTTTCTCTTGGATAAATGCCTAAGAACACAATTGCCAGGTTGTATGGTATTTGCATGTTTAATTTTATTAAAAAATGACAAATTGTCCTCCAAAGCGGCTGCAACATTTCACATTCCCACCAGCAATGTATGAGTGATTCAGTTTCTTCACATTCTCGGTAGCATTTGGCATTACTATTCTTGTTTTGTTACAATTAAAAAATTAAACATTCATGTGAGTTAAAAAAACTATCTATGGGAGAGGAAAAACAAATGGCAGATAGGAAGCAGGACTAAGTTGCAGCTCCCACTCGGATGGACAGAGCAGCACGTGGAGACTCACATCGTGAGCTTTTCCTCCAAGAACTACTACAGGAACATACCAGGAATGTCAAGAGAATCCATGGACTCGTTTAAGGAAGTGGTTACCCTTGCAGGCCCTGTGAGACAGCCAAAACTGTGGGGACCCAAAGTATGAGGGGGAATGTCTGCACCCAAACACACATCCTCACTGGATAACCTGAAGATCCAGTTCAGATAAAGATTTAACCTTACTTGAAGCTGAGACAAATTTAGTGAGCTGAGTGAAATATAGGGGTAGAGGAAGCAGCAGGAAGAGCCCTGTGGGCACTCTGGGTCCCCAGGGAAGCCATTCCTG